AGCTAATTTTTTGTATTTTTAGTAGAGACGGGGTTTCACCACGATGGCCAAGCTGGTTTCGAACTCGTGACCTCAAGAGATCCTCCCACCTCGGCCTCCCAAAGTGCTAAGATTAAGGTGTTAGCCACTTCGCCCGGCCAGTAATGTGCCTTTTTCTTTGCTGTTTACTGTTATCTCTTTCTCTTCTTTCTCTCCCTACTCCTTACAGCTATTTTAATAAAATATGTCTAAGTGTTTTTTGTTTTGTTTTTTTGAACCTATCTCATTTATGCTTTCTGAATCTATAGCTTGGTATCTTTTTTCAGTTTTGGAAAATTCTTGGTCAGTATCTACTTAAATGTTGCTTTTTTTTTTTTTTTTTTCCTGTCTTTTCCTACTCCTTTGGAATTTTTCCATGGTATTTTATCTATCTTTTATTTCTGTTCCATAGTTCTCATTTTTATCAGTGTTTTATTTTGGATAATTTCTAACAACCTGTCTTCTAGTTTACTAATCCTATTTTGTTCTATTTCCAATGTATAAACTCATTTGTTAATGTTTTAACATAGTCCTTTTCAATTTTAGGATTCATATTGGATTATTTTCCAGTAAAGCCAATAGTTTAAAGAGATTCTTTATCTTTTAATTTGTTTTCTTCATCTTTTCCTCTCTTTCTCTCATATATTAATCGTAGTTATTTTAGGTTGCCTATCTTCTAAGCCCAATATCTTATCTGCAGAGCTGATTCTATTGTCTATTTTTGTTTCATTGGATTCTTAGTTTAAAAATCTCGTTTCTTGGCCGCGGTGACTCCCGCCTGTTGTCCCAGCTTTGGGAGGCCAAGGCGGGTGGATCTCTTGAAGCCAGGAGTTCGAGACCAGCCTGGCTAACATGGTGAAACTCTGTCTCTACTAAAAATATAAAACTTAGCCCGGGGTGGGCCTGGCGCAGTGGCTCGCGCCTGTAATCCCAGCACTTTGGGAGGCCGAGGCGGGCGGATCACGAGGTCAGGAGATCGAGACCATCCTGGCTAACATAGTGAAACCCTGTCTGTACTAAAAATACAAAAAAATTAGCCGGGCATGGTGGCAGGTGCCTGTAGTCCCAGCTACTCGGGAGGCTGAGGAATGAGAATGGCGTGAACCCGGGAGGCGGAGCTTGCAGTGAGCGGAGATCGCGCCACTGCACTCCAGCCTGGGCGACAAGGCAAGAAAACTTAGCCAGGCGTGATGGCGCACGCCTGTAATCCCAGCTACTTGGGAGGCTGAGGCGGGAGAATCGCTTGAACTCGGGAGGCGGAGGTTGCAGTGAGCCGAGATCGCGCCACTGCACTCCAGCCTGGGTTACAGAGTGAGACCCTGTCTCAAAAAGAATAAATAAATAAATATCTCGTTTCTGGTCTATCTGTATCTATATCTGTATCTATATCTATATCTATATCTATATCTATATCTATATCTATATCTATATCTATATCTTCCAGGGTGCATGTGCAGGATGTGCAGACTTGTTACACAGGTAAACGTTTGCCGTGATGATTTACTGCACCTATCAACCTATCACCTAGATATTAAATCCAGCATGCGTTAGCTATTTTTCCTGATGCTCTCCGTACCTTACGGATCACTTGAGGCCAGGAGTTCGAGACCAGCCTGGCCAACATGGCGAAACCCCGTCTCTCCAAAAATACAAAAATTAGCAAGGCATTGTGGCACATGCCTGTAGTACGAGCTACCCGGGAGGCTGAGGCAGGAGAATTGCTTGAACCCGGAAGACGGAGTCTGCAGTGAGCGGAGATTTCACCACTGCACTCCAGCCTTGGGGACACAGCAAGACCTTGTCTCCAAAAAGAAAAAAGAAAAAGAAAAAAAGAAAAGAAGAAAAGAAGAAAAGAGGATTCTTGCGCTTGGTCTGTCTTCGCCTATCTTTACAGGTCCTTGAGTCCTAGCAGTCTCACGGATGCTAAAATTCAAAACTAGGATAGTAAATAAAATCCCCAAAAGTAGGAATTTAGTTTGATAAAATAAAACCAAGATAAACGAGCAAGCAGGCGCAAATGGTGGATTCCTTAGGACGAACCTCTCAAGGCAAAGACAATTACCTGAAAGTGAATTAGAATTTTAAAAAATATTTTTAAACACCCCAAAATAATTATTTTTAAATAAAACTTTAAAATCCACCGAGGATTTAAAAACTATCTCCCTCCGCCGGGTGCGGTGGCTTACGCCTGTAATTTCAGCACTGTGGAAGGCCAAGGCGGGCGGATCACTTGACATCAGGAGTTTGAGACCAGCCTGGCCAACATGGTGAAACCGTCTCTACTAAAAATACATAAATTAGCCCGGCGTGGTGGCGCGCGCCTACTACTCCTCCTCCTCCCAGCTTCTGGGGAGGCTGAGGCAGGAGAATTGCTTGAACCTGGGAGGCGGAGGTTGTAGTGAGCCGAGATCGCGCCACTGCACTCCAGCCTGGGAGAGACGGAGCGAGACTCCCTCTCAAAAACAAACAAACAAAAAAACAAACAAAACAAAAAAATTACCTCCCTCTAAGAGATTCTAAAATTATCAGTTTCTTTTTTTCCTTTAAGTGGCCAAGGACTTTTCATTTTCCTGACAAATAGTTTTCCTAACTAGAATGCAAGCTAAATGAAAGTAGGTGAATATTTCTAAAACTTTCAGAAAGGAAGATGACCAAACTGGTAAATAAAGAATGACTGGGCCAGGCGAAGTGGCTCACACCTGTAAGCCCAGCACTTTGGGAGGCTGAGGTGGGTGGATCACTTGAGGTCAGGAGTTCCAGACCAGGCTGGCCAACATGGTGAAACCCTGTCTCTACTAAAGATACAAAAAATTAGCTGGGCATGGTGGTGAGTGCCTGTAATCCCAGCTACTTGGGAGGCTGAGGCAGGAGAATCGCTTGAACTTGGGGGCACAGGTTGCAGCTAATGTACTCCAGCCTGGCCAACAGAGTTAGACTCTGTCTTAAAAAAAAAAGGATGAGTGACCAAGACAAAAACAAGCAAAGAAAACACCTCTGGAAAACTTAATCAAGAAAAGATAATCTAATCAAGGTAGTACAGAGAATAATAAATCCATCTCTTACCATGTAAAAAAATTAGTTAAAATAAATATTCTAAGAAAAAACACCAAAATTAATTAAAAATGAAGCAGTACATGTAAACAGAACAATGATAATAGGAGACACTGTAAAGATTATCAAAGATACGAAGGCATTGTGTCCAGAGTGATGTTGGAGCAATTTATTTCAAATTTACAAGGAAGATATAATTTTCATGATGCTTACATTGATTGGGAGGGTAGAAAAATATGGAAATTAATAGTTCTGATGAGTTTTAAATATTTTATTTTCCTTCTATATAGATGTTGTTGAAATAGAACAATGGATGTTTTTTACATTGTTAAATTTAACTTCTATATTTTATTTTTAATCTATGGGAATTGTTTTCCTCTAGATCTTTTTCCTCCATGTAAAAAATTTTAATTAAGGTATAGCTTACTTAAATTAACATAAATAACATTTTACATGCACAGTGTGATGATGCACGTATGACAACCACCCATATCAAGATATAAAATATTTCCGGGCCAGCTATTGTGGCTCATGCCTGTAAACTCGGCATTTTAGGAGGCCAAGGCAGGAGAATTGCTTGAGGCCAGGAGTTTGAGAACAGCTTGGGCAATATAGTGAGACCACTTTACAAAAAAAATTAAGAAAACATTAGCTAGGTGTGATGGTGGGTGCCTGTGTCCCTAGCTATTTAGGAGGCTGAGGTAGGAGAATCACTTGAGCCGGGGAGGTGGAGACTGCAGTGAGCCATGATCATGCCACTGCACTCCAACCTGGGTGGCAGAGCAAGACCCTGTCTTTAAAAAAAAAAAAAGATTTACCAGAAAAAAAAACATTAATTAAGGCAATTGACAAAATCTGAATAAGATCTGCAAATTAGATAGAAGTATATTAGCATTAATTTCCCAATTTTGATCATTTCACTGGTGTTATATAAGGGAATTCCTTGTTTTCAGGAAACACACACTGAAATATTTAGGTGTAAATGGACATCATTTCTGAAACTTATTCTCAAATTATGTATATATATCTTTACTTATCTGCTCATACCTGTATTGCAGGGACTAAAAGTTAAGGAACTGTATTTTTTGGATTCCCATGCCACCTTAGTTCTGGATTAGGTTTTACAAGTGGGAGGCACTTGTGTGAGATTAGGAGGCAGAAGAAAGGTGAAAGCTGCTTCTTTTCTGTCTCTGGCAATTGTGGTAGCAGCAGACAAGCCTGACCTTCTCAGTGGCAGCCAGCACCCTAAGCTTCTTTAGTGGTGAACGTTCTGCAGCTCCTGATCTCAAGTAAAATAAACCCTGCCTTTTTGCAACTTTAGGTCTTCCAATAACTTGTCATCTTTTTGTTTAAAAAACTTAGAATGGGTTCTGTTTTCCTGTATGATATGCCAGCCAAGATGTTATTCACGTAAAAGGCAGCAAGCAGATGTTTTTGACCACTGAAAAGAACTCCAGGGAGACAACACTCATAGACCCTTCCTGGAAAAAAAAAAAAAAAAGACTATAACGAAATCCAGCCAAATAAGACGTGAATACAAATAAGAATTCAGGAAGGAAGAACTGTGTTTAATAGATGGATGATTAAAAATGGAGCAGTGTAAAGGGATAGGAAATGTTGCAGGGTAGTTAATACAAGGTAGTTCAGGAAGGCCTTGCTGTTAGGGTGACATATTGAGCAGAAACTTTCATGAAATAAGGGAGTGCACTACGGGGTATCTGGGCCATGAGTTTTCAAGTTCGCTTCTAAGTAAAGTATTACAAACATCAGGAAAAACATTCATCATTGCTATCCATATCTTATAATTGAACTAAGTGATTATGGCACCTATTACCACCTGATGGCAGCACTCTACAAGAAAGCTAAGCAGAGACAGTGACCTATGCCTGATGCAGTAAAACTATAGTCAGTAGTTGCATAGAAAAGCAAACATCACAGACAGATAAAAGAGTTCTGTGGTGTCTCTAATCTCTGAATTTTAAACTTACCAGAAATTTTGTGGACTTTCTGATTTTAGCAGAAATAAAACAAGGAATATCTCCTGTGTATACATTTTATGGCTTCCAAATTATGTTCCTGTATTGTAAGTGGCAAAAAGATCAGATCTACTTTGCGTAATTTGTTATTTTTGCTTCCCTAATTGAAATGCATCTGCCTAATGTGGTCGCCCTTGCTTGAGGGGAGTAGGGGAGTCTTTCTATTACCTGGACAATCCAGAAGGTCATATAACCATCAAAGATGGGCTGATAGTATATATAATGTTTCTTCTTCACCTATAAATAATTGGGACTCTTGTCCTAATATGATTTTGGACAATCTGCCAGTGTTTCCACATCTACATCCAGGGAAGTACTTAATTATTCGATTAGACAAATGTTCATGGATAAGCCAGGATCTGTGTGGAATAGCATACAGGGCTTTGCCTGGTTCATTCCTATTTACACTTCAGGTCAGAGCGTGGGTGCCAGCTCTACCATAAGGCCCTCCTACGACCTCAGTTCTGGTGAGGTTTCTCTCCTATGTACTCCCTTGGCCCCACACCCTCTCACTTCCCACCCTACAGTGTAATGACTTGTTCACTTGATTCTCTTTACTTCTTGCCTGAAAGCTCTGTGAGAACAGGGAATATATTCATCTTGTTCATAATTGTATTCCACTGGTGGGCATTGTGCCTGGCACATAGTAGGTACCTGGTATCTATCTATCTATCTATCTATCTATCTATCTATCTATCTATCTAT